AAAGAGCTCTAAATAAAAAAGATGTTTTTTTTTTCTGCCTATAAGCAGTTCACAACTGCCAGTTTGCTATGTCATCTGTAAAAATGTCTGATTCTAAGTATAGAGCTTTAAAAAAAAGAAGTCGCATTAATGAATCAGAGCGACGAGAAAATGTGAGAAAATGTACTATGTTTCGTTTGGAGAGACTGCCATCCCCAAGCCCCCGGGCCCTCACTGGACGTCACTGAACCGTCCCTCCCCCAAGTCCAGTGGTAGGAAGTCCTGGAAGATTAAGAGAAAGGAGAGGTAGGGAACTCAGCACCCGGTAACCCTTCCTTACCTGCTCATAACTGTAGATGCCAGCTCATACTCTGGCTAGCTTTGGCCCTACACTGTAAGATGTGAGTCTGGGAATGCAAACAAACTTACGCGTCTTTGTGGACAGTAATGGCTTCAGTCAAGATCGATCATCTTTCAAAAGCCAGATATAATTTTTGATGTGTAATGATTTAACGAGAAAACAAAATGGCTATTGTTCTTTCTGGCTCTGGACGTTAGCCCAGTGTTTTGTAGGTAACTACGGTATAATGCATTGCGACACACTATCTATACACAATCCATTTTCGGATTTAATGTGATACGCGAAAGTCGGCCAGAACTAGCACAAAATGGTCCACCTGGAAAAGTCTTATGGAGTGGTCAATTTGTCTGAAATATTTAAGAATAGAACCATGGGCTACCAATGTTACTTCCACAGGAAATTCACGGTTTGATAATTTATTAACAAAAACAGTTTTTAGAAATCTGTTTTGACATATTTCCAATGATAAGTTCCCAATAGAAATACTTTTTTATTACTATTTTTTTCAGCATATTATGGGGGTACAAATGTTAAGGTTACTTATATTGCCCTTCCCCCCCCAGTCAGAGCTTCAAGCGTGTCCATCCCCCAGTTGGTGCGCATCACACTCATTATGTATATGTATACCCATCCCCTCCTCCCCCCTCCCACCTGCCCGTCACCCGATGAATGTTATTCCTATATGTGCACTTAGGTGTTGATCAGTTAATACCAATTTGCTGGTGAGTACATGTGGTGCTTGTTTTTCCATTCTTGGGACACTTCACTTAATAGAATGGGTTCCAGCTCTGTCCAGGAAAATACAAGAGGTGCTAGATCACCATTGCTTCTTATAGCTTAGTAGCACTCCATGGTATACATATACCACATTTTATTAATCTACTCATGTATTGATGAGCACTTGGATTGTTTCCACATCTTTGCAATTGTGAATTGTGCTGCTATAAACATTCGAGTGCAGGTGTTTTTTTCATAGAGTGACTTTTGTTCTTTTGGGTAGATGCCCAGTAATGGGATTGCTGGATCAAATGGTAGATCCACTTGTATCGCTTTAAGGTATCTCCATATTGCTTTCCACAGAGGTTGAACTAGTTTGCAGTCCCACCAGCAATGTAGGAGTGTTCCTATCTCTCCACATCCACGCCAGCATTTATTGTTTTGGGACTTGTTAAAAAAGGCCATTCTCACTGGAGATAAGTGATATCTCACTGTGATTTTGATTTGCATAGAAATACTTTTTAAAAAGGCATTGGAGCCAAAATATCTGGGCTTAAATTATAGACATTCCTTTTATTGCGTTTACCCAGAGCAAAATGATTTAAGCTCCCTAAGCCTCTATTCCCTCATCTATAAAATGGTGACTATAACGATTACCTCCCAGAGTTGTTAGAAAGATTAAGTGAATTGAGGTATATTAGAAAGATTAAGTGAATCGAGGTATGTTGAATGCTCAAGATGCTAGACATGCAGAACGTGGTACTTCTAATTCCCTTCCGGTAACGAGGCACTAAGGCACTGCAGTACAGTGTGGTGATTATGAGCAGGGACCATGAGGCTTCATTGCCTGGGTTGGCTCCTGGCTCCACCGTGTGACCATGGGCAGGCTGCTTACACACTCTATGCCTCAGTTTTCTTATCTGTAAAATGGGCATAATCAAAGCACCTCCCTCCTAGGGTGTGCTTTCGAGAGTGAAATGAGTGGTTTCGAGAGTGAAATGAGTTTATTTATGCAAAATGCTTATAATGGTGCCTGGCACACAAGAGATGCTACATAAGCGTTAGCTACTAACATAGTGAGATGCTCATGGTTTGTTGTATCGGCATCTTTCTGACTTACTGCATTTACATTAATAACTACAGCTGTGGCCAGTAATATGCTTTAGGTCTTGGAAGTGTGGATTGGTGGAATTTTCGGACTTTAATGCCAAGGGTATAGTGAAGAGAGTGGAGAAGCAGAGGGGGCCACCCATTCCCCAGCTCGGGCCCTGGGTGCTTTGTGAAAATAGCCATCTCTGTGAATTCTAGCCCTGGGCATAGGGAAAAAGGAGCAACGATATTATTAAACACATCTCCTGGGTACCATTTGCCCTCACTGAGCCCTTGCTTTAATGAACACCAATATTTTTTTAGCTCCGTTGTAAATATTATTTATAGCAAAATTTATATCATAACAGCATTAAGGGAATTTTTGAAAAAATGAAATGTAATTCAACTACAAACACACCACTTGATGCAAAAACTAATTTTATTTTTTTTCGATTTACCTCTAGTTTTTGTTTATGTGCATATCTCTTATATGTTTACACAGCAGACATCACTGTGTACGTACAATTTTATACTCTGCTTCCTGTTTAACATTAATCGATAACCTTCTTCCCTGTCACATAGTCTCTGTAACTGGCATTATTATTGACGGCTGCACAGTCAAGCGAATAGGACATAATTATTCCATTTTTGGAAATCAAAACGTCCACCTTCTACATACTGTAGGAGAACTCTACACATGAATCATAACAAAGAAAACAGCTTCTAAAAGAAAATGAATAAAAGACCTAAACCTCCTTCAGGCAGGAGGGAGGTATTTGATTGTCTAAGAGTTGTGAAATCCTATAATTTGATTTTGCAACAGACTTCTACCCCAAATGCTTATTGAATATATCTATTTTTAAATTTAAGAGAATTAAAAAGAAATTGCACATGATAGGTATGCGGGGAGGTTCATTATACTATTGTCTACTTTAGTATATGTTTAAAATTTTCCATAAGCAAAAATGTTAAAAGAAAAAAAAAAAGAATTTGCTTATAAGTGATTTTTCCAATACACTTGGAAATAGTTTGAGATATCTGTTGGTGAGCAGGCCACCACCGGCCCATGTGGCACGTTTGTGGGAATGTTTTTAAGTACCTCTGCCTCCAAAGCCTTTACTCTCCTGTTCCAGGAACTGTGGTAATGGTATGTAAATCCATGGTGGCCACGCCAGGGATGGTGCTACCTTGGGCATGGGGCTCTTGTGCCATGCACGACCTCCCACCGCATGCAGAGGCACTGCTTGGGTGTCACCAAACCACTACTGAGAACATCCCTAAGAAGGTGGGAGGCCCAGGCAGGAGAATCACTTGAGACCAGTTCAAGACCAGCCTGAGCAACATGGGAGACCCCATCTCTACCAAAAAAAAAAAGAAGAAGAAGAAGAAATTAGGCAGATGTGGTGGCGCGCGCCTGTAGTCCCAGCTACTTGGGAGGCTGAGGCAGGAGGACGGCTTGAGCCCAGGAGTTGGAGGTCACAGTGAGCTGTGATGATGCCACGGCACTCCACCCCAGCAACAGAGTGAGACTCTGTCAAAAAAAATTAAAAGGTGGGACGAGGCTGTCACTGTGGCCCGCACTGGGTAGAGGTGACTGGCAGTGTATGATGCCACAGCAGGCTGTGCCCTCCCCAGCCACCCTGGGCGGGGGCTCTCGGGCCTGCAGATACACCCGTAGGTCACAGTCCGGACTCACTAGAGGCACGTGCTCTACTGGGGTGTCCTGGCAGCACCCTTGCTAAGCCCAGGGCTCTCCTTCCTCCCGGTGACTCTGTGACTCGGATGCCCAGTGCCCTTGCCCCACCCCACCCTCCACACACCCTAGTATTGCCGTCAGAACGCGCCTGCCGGCCTGCCTTCTGGTTCCCGTCCCATCCTGTCCCTGTCCGAAGCGAGTCTCGGCTCCCTCTCCCGTCCCCGGGAATCCTCCAGTTCCCGACTGGCTGTGTGCAGCTTGCCTGTGTCACAGGCCTCGGGCAGCACGGCCGGTGTCAGAAGGCTCCTCTCGTGTTCCGGGGCCCCGGGCTTCTAGGAGGGGACAGACGCTTGAGCTGCCGGTGGCCCCGAGTGTTAGATATTGTGGCTGGGTGAAAGAGAACTAGAAGACAGCTCCGTGGGAGCCAACGGATGGTCTGACGAGGGAAGAAGGAAGCCAGCGCAGAACACTTGCAGACTAACCACGCTCGGCGGTGAGCTGCGTAGGGTTAGGGGACGGCGTGGTGGTCCCTTCTGAAATCTTCACAGATAGCTCAGGGCTGACACTCCAATTAGCTGGGACTGCAGGTATGTGCCACCATGCTGGGCTAAGTTTTGTAATTTTTTGTAGGGATGGGGGTCTTGCTATGTTGCCCAGGCTGGTCTTGAACTCCTGGCCTTAGGTGATCCTCCCACCTCAGCCTCCAGAAGGGCTGGGATTACAGCCATGAGCCTCCACACCTGCCCTCAACTTGTTTTTTAAATAACTTTATTCTTTGTATAAAAACAATGCATGTTCATATATATATATAAAAAAAACAGCTCCCAGCAATAAAAAGTACAAATAAGAGAGCAAAATAGAGCATTGATATTTAAGAACAGAATGCTGTTTTCATCATGTGACCCTCGTTGCTTGTGTGTTTATTGTTCTTGTATGAGTCACTGAATTAAAATATTACTCCATGGAACTTGGATGTTTTTGCTAATTATTGAACAAAGCCAAACTTGACATTTATATTATGAAGTGCTAAACTATCTGATGTACCGAAAACTTTTATCAGTCCTCAGATTAATGTGATTTTTTTCTAGGAAAGAAACAGGTTTTTTATATAAGACATTGGAAACAAATTCCCCTTGACATTTTCTTTCTGTTTCCCAGAGAGTTGAGTCTTACATCACTAAACCAAAACCTGTAGATGTCTACTGCCTGGAGTGTAAACCTTCCGGGGGAATAAGGTAATGCTTTTTATTTTATTTTTATTTTTTTTTAGCATAGAGGAATTTGGTATTATTGTATTCTATAACTCTGAAAAAAAAATTTACTATTCAGATTTCTATGAAGGGTTGAGCCTGAAAAGAATCTGTTGAGAAAGGAGAAAGATTCATTATATTGAATAATTTCAAAGCAAATGGCCTTCCCTAGTCTCTAGTTCATTGCTAGACTTTAGAGATAAAGAAACAGGCCCGGGAGAATGGGGGGAGTGGGGTGCCAAAAGTCACAATGAACTGAGAGACCAGAGCCCAAGTTTCCTGATGTGTCATCATTTGGAAACATTTGGTCCTATTTGGGTCTTGGAAGATGGGTAAGAGGCAAAAAAGGAAAAAAAGCACACAGATGTACAGTTAAGTAGAAGAAACAAGGCCTAGCGTCCAATAGTGGGGACTTGGGGATCTATAAGACCCCGAGTCAGGCTTTCTGCCAGCATGGAGGTAAGTCACACAAATGGGTGATGATGATAAATAAATGCCCAGTGGGATTTTGAGACCTCACATTGCCCTGGTACCCTGTTGATATCACAGTTGAAATTAGCTCAGGTTTTAAGTGAGTAGAGGGGCTGCCATTGCAGCCCCACCGTTGGCTGTTCCCTTGGGCCTCAAGACCCGCTCACTTTAAGGGGGTGCTCAGGTTGCACCCGTGCACAATCCCAAGCGCCACCACTGTGTTCACAGGTGTGCCGCAAGAGCACCGAGCATCAGAAGCTCAGATGGGACTGTCAACGCAAGGAGAGACTGCTGGGCGGCGAGCCGGAGCGCTGGGAGCAGCAGTGAAGAAAGCTTCCCCGTGGGCTTGAAGCTTGCTGTGCTTGGCATCTTCATCATCGTGGTGTTTGTCTACATAACGGTCGAGAAGAAGCCACTGTTTGGTTAGGTGCTTTGGGAGCAAAGCAGTGAGCGCGTGCTTGAGTACTGTTCTGAGCGAGCCCTCCTGCTTCAGGAAGGAACCGCAGAACTCCCGTGAAGGTGCAAACCCAGCCTGCAGCCAGGTAGCCCTCCCCGGGCTCCGTGCTGCTGCGCGCACATCTGTACCCGGGCTCGTCCGTGGCGGGGAGAGCGAGGGGGAACCAGGCACCTGTGTCAAGAGTGTAACGCGAGGAGCTCCCTCGAGCCAGGTCTGCCATCATTAAAGATGCGGCCACATGCCAGCAGATTTCTAAGAAGGAAACTCTGCCTGGCATTTTTCTTCTTAACTATGGCGATAGAACAATGGATCACATTTTATTCACTCTTGCCAATTGTATAGCCAACCATGGGAAGGGCCACCGTAGCTAATTCGCAAAAGAGGAATATTTCTGGTTTAGCAAACACACAGACATGTCCAACATCACGAAAACAATTTAGAGCAAGATAGCGTTTGTGCCTTTGAAATTTAGCAAGGTCCTAAAAAAATTCAGGGCTGAACGCGAGGGAGCGTGGTGACCGTGAGTCTGGGACCAGGCGGAGCTGCAGAGGCACCTGGCTCCTCTCGTCATTGGCCTCGTGACCTTGGGTGAGTTAGTTGTCTTCCTGAGCTTTATTTAGTTTCAACCTTCGGGAAATAGGGGTAGGATAGACCTCTTAGAGTGGTGAAGACTTTGAAGAAATAATGCATATAAAATATTTAGTGTCGTCCACACCTGGCTTGTAGTATGCATTCTGTAAATGCATAAGCAACGTTACACTTTGGCACAAAATTTCTACTTCTGGGAGCAGCTAATTCTAGATACAAAAAGCATCAAGATACATAAGCACTGAGAAATTTACCGTAGCAATTTTTTCTTTATTTTTGAGACCGGGTCTTTCTCTGTCTCCTGGGCTGGAGTGCAGTGGCGTCATTATAGCTTACGGCAACCTCTAACTCCTGCCTCAGCCTCCTAAGTAGGTGGGACTACCACACACCGCCAAGCCTGGCTGATTTTTCCTTTTTTTTTTTGTAGAGACGGGGTCTCACTCCTGCTCAGGCTGGTCTCCAACTCCTGGCCGCAAGTGATCCTCCTGCCTCAGCCTCCCAGAGTGCTAGGATTACAGACATGAGCCACCAACTGTAGCAATTTTTATGGTAGCTAAAACGTAGAACCTACCAATAATAGGGGAATAGTTTAAGAAATGGAAGTATAGCCTCTTGATAGATGATTATGCAATAATTAAAAATGTTAACACCGAGTTGATGATAACATAGAAAATGCTTATTTAAAAATTTTTTAAAATAACTTTTTTGAGATATAATTTATATGCCATACAATCCACCTACTTAGAAGCACAACTCAATGATTTTTAATATATTCAGAGTTGTGCAACCGTCACCACAATTAATTTTAGAATATTTTCATCACCCCAAAAAGAAACCCCTAAGACACTCATTATTTTAATGATAAACAAAAAAAGGACACAAATTTATTGTGCCATATTATCACAACTGCATAACACTGGAAGAAAATATGTAAAAATCTTAATAGTTCTTCAGTAACTGAGGCTCTACTTTTTTCTCCCTATTTCTACTTTTCTGTATTCTTTAAAGATTTCTATAAGCCGTGTGTATCAATTTGCTAATGAGAGAAAATAAATTTTAATTTTTGTCTACAAGGAACATAAAATACTCCAGTAAGCCTGGCTGAAACAAACAGGAATTTGTTTTTATCTCATAAAAAGAAGTCTGGAGCTTAAGATGTACAATATTGTTAAAATGACCAGATATAATGTGATTCTGACTCAAACCAACTGCAGAAAAAATTATGAGCAAGAAAATTTGAAACTGACTAGATCTTTTTTGATACTAAGAGATTTTTGATCTTAATGAGCTGAGCAGCTTTTCTGTCTCCACGAAGTAAGAAGCATAATAGAATCGCAGAGGCCGGGTGTGGAGGCTCACGCCTGTAATCCTAGCACTCTGGGAGGCCAAGGCGGGAGGATCCCTCAGGGTCAGGAGTTGGAGACCAGCCTGAGCAAGAGTGAGACCCCGTCTCTACTATAAATAGAAAGAAATTAATTGGCTAACTAAATATATATATACATATAAAAAAATTAGCCGGGCATGATGGTGCAGGCCTGTAATCCCAGCTACTCGGGAGGCTGAGGCAGGAGGATCGCTTGAACCCAGGAGTTTGAGGTTGCCATGAGCTCAGCTGATGCCACGGCACTCTAGCCAGGGCAACAGAAGTGAGACTCTGTCTCAAAAAAAAAAAAAGAATTGCAGAGACGCTGGACTGACTCCTTTGAACTGCTAAAGTGAGTTCTGCAGCTCTGGCCTTCCCTTTAGCATCTAAGGCAGGACTTAAGGACTGACCACAGGCCATCTCCAGCTCTGTGCTAGGTATATTTCATCCCCAGCAGCAAGGGAGGTGGAGAAGGTGAGCTTCTGAGCTGTAGCGGCCTCTATATTACACACGGAAGAGAAGGATTGGATACAGGAGCACGAGGAGCCCACCTGCAGTGATGTCCACAAGTGCTTACAGGAAACTTCTGCTCTTAATAAGAGCAAGCATTATGAAAACTAAAAGTCTCCTAGGAAATCTCCTTTTCTACTTTTGCCAATTAGTTCGTATACATCGAAATCCTGAAATCAGCTTAGAGACTGCATAAGACGACTAGTTTCGTGTCTTACTAAAGGTCCCTGAGTCTCTGAGCAGAAGCAACAAGGTCTCAGGCCCCAGCGCAGCCGCTGAGCCAGAATCTGCATTTAAACAGGGTCCCGGGTAGTCCTTACGTGCGTTAAAGTTTGAGAAGCACTGCCGTGGTCCACGCTATCATATGCCGTGCTATTGTGATATAATAAGAAATAATACACTTGGTCTCTGGCCCTGGTTCCTGGCACACGGCTCCTAAAACCTTTGGAATCTCCAGCGTAATAAGAGCGTCTGCTGTATGCTAATACTTGAGGTGACTGGTGGCCCCTAGATAGCTTCAGAGGGGGGCTGGTCACCAGAAAGACCAGAGCAGGACTAGAGGGCTGGAGCTTTCAACCCCACTCCCCAACCTCCAGGGAAGGGGGAGAGGTGAAGATTGAGTGGCTCACCAATGGCGATGATTTGATCCGTCGTGCCCATGCAATGCAGCCTCCATAAAAACCCAAAAGGACAGGTGCAGGGGCTTCCAGAGAGCGGAGCGCGTGGAGGAGCCTGGAGGGCGGTGTCCCAGAGGGGCAAGGACGCCTGTGCTCCTTCCCACGAGCCTTGCCCCGTGCCTCCCTTCACTGGGCTGCTCATCTGGATATTCCACTAAATCCTTTACGCAGCTAACGTGTTCCCCTTAGTTCTGCGAGCTGCCCTGGCAAATTAATCTACCCCAAGGAGGGGGCCCTGTGAATCCTGATTTATAGCTGGCCGGTCAGAAGCACAGATCACAACGCGGGATTTGCAGATGGCATGGAGTGGGGGGGCAGTCTCGTGGGACTGAGCCCTCATCCTGTGGTATCTGATACTGTCGCCAGGTAGACAAGTGTCAGACGGGAATTGAAGCGGGCGTGGCAGCTCACACCCGTAATCTTCGCGGGGGGGATTGTTTGAGCTCAGGAGTTCAAGACCAGCCTGAGCAAGAGCGAAACCCCGGCTCTACTAAAAATAGAAAAAATCAGCCGGGCTTGGTGGCGAGCACCTGTAGTCCCAGCTACTCGGGAGGCTGAGGCAGGAGGATCACCTTGACCGGAGTCTTGAGGTGCTGTGAGCTAGAGCTTGACGCATGGCACTCTAGCCCAGGCCCGAGTGAGACTCTGTCTGAAAGAAGAACGAAAGAAGAAAGAAAGAAAGAAAGAGAAGAAAGAAGAAAGAAAAGAAAGAAAGAAAATAACAAAGAAAGAAACTGCAGGACGCGCCGGTAGTGTCTACTGGAGAATGTGGTGTCAAATTGGCTGGTGTTTAGGGGAAAAAACATGACAAGATGACCTAAAAACTACGATGAAAATAACTAACGGAAAGTAAGAGGAATGAACTCGCCACACACAATTTCCCCTTTGAAGAGAAAACTCACAGCACATCTGCCCCCTTTGTTTTGGTTGATTAAACACCTGGGGCTCAACTCAGTTTGTCTTTAAGCCCCTTAATCTCTGAGAGTCCATTTTCACAGCCTTGAAGAGCCCTGAGGAAGCTCCAAGGACCTTTGATGAACCAGCCCACAGAGAAGGGGAAAAGGGAAAAGCATTTTCCCGGCCATTTTTGCTATGTTGGTAATAATCACTTTTTTTTTTTTTTTTTTTTTGAGACAAGGTCTCACTCTGTTGCCTTGGCTGGAGTGCCGTGGGGTTAGCCTAGCTCACAGCAACCTCAGACTCCTGGGCTCAGGCAATCCTCCTGCCTCAGCCTCCTGAGTAGCTGGGACTACAGGCATGTGCCACCATACCCGGCTAATATTTTCTATATATTTTTAGCTATCCAAGTAATTTCTTTCTATTTTGAGTAGAGACAGGGTCTCGCTCTTGCTCAGGCTGGTTTCGAACTCCTGACCCCGAGCAATCCTCCCGCCTCGGCCTCCCAGAGAGCTAGGATTACAGGCGTGAGCCACCGCGCCGGGCCTGTAATAATCACGTCTTTCCTTTCTCTTTGCCCCCCTCATAAAAGCCCCGGATCCTCCACACTCACTGCTGACACCTCTTTCTTTCTCTTGTGTCGTGCCCTTCCCACCTTCCGGAAGTAAAATAAACTTTCTTTCTTTAAAACTTTCTAATCTTTGTGTGGAGAATTCCCACCCCCCGGCGTGAGTGCCCGCCCCGACACCACACATCTGGAGTCAGAAGTGCTGTGGGACGTGACAGGAGGAGGAAACACGGGGTTTCTCCTACCTCAGATCCACACTTGTGCAGGGGGAGTCCCTGAGACTCGGGCCGGAGGCCCAGTGGGGTGAGTCTGCCCGGGACTCTGTGCCATCGGGACTCCTCCCTCGGGGGGGAAAAAACAAAGGAAGAGACTCAAGGCATAGGAGTTTGGTCCTAGGCTGTGTGTCACTATTCATTCATTCAATGATTCATTTTTGCACCTCTCATGCACATGAAATATAATGACAAATAAAATCAATATAAGAGGCCGGGCGAGGTGGCTCACGCCTGTAATCCTAGCTCTCTGGGAGGCCCAGGCCAGAGGATTGCTCAAGGTCAGGAGTTCGAGACCAGCCTGAGCAAGAGCAAGACTATAAACAGAAAGAAATTAATTGGCCAACTAAAAATATATAGAAAAAATTAACCGGGCATGGTGGTGCATG